TATGTTTTATACCTAACTTAGATTTATAATTTGTTTATGTACTTTATTGTAACCATGATATAATTTTGTCTTGTGCACTTGGCAACTTCGATGCATAATTAGTTTGGTTATCCGGCCAGGTGGCCGAGCGGTTAGCACGCCTGACTGCGAAGCCAACGGCCGCAGGTTCGAATCCCGCTCTGGGCATGGATGTTTCTCTCTCTTGTGTTGTCCTCTGTTGTGTGTGGAAATGTGGCCCACCCTATGTACTGGTTTGTGGCAGTGTGGTGTGGGCAATTTTACTCGCCTCCGTGACTTTGGTTCACAGGTGCCCACTGGGTAATGCGAAATGAGTAACACCTCTGGCATCTTCTAAGGCGAAACGAATAAAGTTCAGTGCCTGACATTCGAAAAAAAAAGTTTGTTTATGTTCCACATATCTTCATGCCAATTTTTGTGTTAAGTAAGAAATATACAAAATTAAAATCTTCGTGAAAGATTCTCTGTGTAAGAATATAAAATGTATCACTTCAAGATAATTGATACTTGTTGTGCTTCGCTTACTCGAAATTAAATGGAAAGAGCAGTTGCTAACATAAACAAATGCCACGTTTCAAGAAGATCGAGTTCCTCACACCAAGTCACTTGATGGTATTCCATTAGAAGTGACACATATTAGAAATCAGACAACAAGGCGACTAATCGGAGCAATTAGAGTCAGTAGTGCTACGAAGACGCATACTTAAAATAAAAATTTAACTAAAATCTTCAAAATATGAATGTCAACGCAGAATCACAAACAAACTAAATGTCCCTAATGGTCTAAGCTGTAACTAAGACTATAAGAGACGAAGAGAGCTGTAACTGAAACTATAAAAGACGAAAAAATATATATAACTTTACATTGAAAACACTAAATTTGAAATTATTAAATTACATATATCTAATTACACTGGTGGACAAAATTAAGCGATGGAAAGCATTTTCGCACATGCAAGATACCCGCACACCGCTCCATGCGTTTGACAATGGTTCCGTGAATGCCCAGAGGTACAGGCAGGAGGTCCTAGAGCCTTATGTGCGTCTTTTCAGGGGCGCTGTTGGCCCTGAGTTTATTTTTGTGGACGACAATGCGCGACCTCATAGGGCTCTCATGGTTGATGAGTATCTGGAAAGCGAGGATATTCAACGAATGGATTGGCCAGTCAAATCCCTTGACCTGAATCCTATTGAGCATGCTTGGGATGCTCTTGGGAGAGTTATTGCGATGAACCAACCTCCCCCCAGAACCATTCTAGGGATAAAAATTGCTCTGATGGAAGAATGGGAGGGTCTTCTACAAGTCCTCCTTAACTCCTTTATTGACAGCATGCATATTCGTTGTGCATGCTGTCTGTGTGTCAGGGGGACCATACACCATACTAGAGGCAACACACACTGTACAAGCTTCACTTTTATTGTCATCTTTTATCCTTAAGTTCAGACTACATTGGATTTATTGGCAATAGGTCTTGCCAGTAAATGGCACTTTCCTTCTTGTTTTGCATACTTTATTATCATGGAATAAGCTATATCCATACCAAATTTCATTTATTTATATTCAGTATTTTTTGAGATATTTGGGAAAATGTTTTCCATTTCTTAATTTTGTCCACCAGTGTATGTTATATTATATGGCTAATTTTTTTTAATGAGAATGTGTTCAACTGTGTTCAATGAGAATGTGTTCAACTGTGTTTCAACTGTGTTCAAGAGTAATAGTAAACAATGCGAGCGAGTCTTTTGCAGCGATGAATTGACAAATATTGTTGTTCTTCCGCATTGATGACAAACTTTTTCTCCGAAAATGGTGGAGAAATCTGCCTCTCTAATTCAGGGACTTTAAAATTTATTAACAATATTAAAAGATAATACATACCTCCTTGAAGTGACATGCGTGATAGCGATGTAAGAAATCCTTGTAACTTGTAATCTCGACGTAATGTAATCCTGTCAATATTATTTTGCCTTATGATAAATTCCTTCATAAGCAGAGAAAAAAAAAAAGAATTTCACATATAACTGTTTTCTGTATTTCTTCCTAAATTAATTTGAAGTGAGTAATTGTGAATATCATAAATATAAATGTGTATATTCAGCATTGAAATAAATTAAATTATTATTAATTAATAAATAAATAAGAAAAAAATGTAAAAGGCACACGTCAAAGGCGTTTAGATGATTCTAGTAAATATGGATCAGTCTGTACCAAAATGCAGAATCTTGTATTGTCTTAAATTATTATGCTTGTTAATAGCATCTAAACAGCTGTATTGCTTTTCTCATTATTTTTTTATATTTGTGCTTAAGAAATTTTTTATCCCAGCACTAATGTAACCATATTTTCTTTCGTAAAACTTTTTTCACACAAATCATTATTACAAACATTTGTTTTTCAAATTTTCAATTAAACTATATTTTTTTAAAATAAGCTACTAATTACTAGAAATAACAAGTAATATATAATTTTAAATTAATCTATCATTGATAATTATTCTAAATATTATTAAATATCTAAATATAATTAGTTACTTATTATTAGTTATTTATTATTTTAAGCAAATCAAACTTTTACGGAACTTTTTTTATAGTTTATCTAATAATTTTCTTAATTTGTGACATTATATTGCATGTTTCATATTGCTATGTTTTTCTGTTCCGCATTTTTTCTTTGGTTTGGATATAACTAGCAGAATTAATATATTTCACCAATTATTTTCTATAAGGCATACGCAAAGCAAAATTTATTTTTTAAATTTGTGCTGCTGCCATCTATGTTCGATTTTAAGCACTTAAAAATCATAGTTATAATTTTCATATGTAGATAGCAGCACCACCTAAAATTTTTTTTTAATTTTTATTACTAACTTATAACAAAAAGAAATGTTCCATATGTCAAAAAAAAGAAAACTTTTCTTACAACTCTCCACATAAAGGATTAGCCAAATCATATCATCATAGCAAGCATTTGAGGGGGCGTAATTAAACTACACAGTCACAAAAGTTTTCCAAATTCCTCAAATAAAAAAAAGGATCTTAAATATACTAAATATCTGAAAAAAGCTTTAACTTTAAAGAATTTGAATCAATAGTAATTCGCGAATTTTTTTTCACTGAATTATTAATATATTTAATATTAATATACTAATATATAATATAATTTTAATATAAATTATTAATATATTAATATATAATATAATTTCAATATAAATTATTAATATATTTAATATACTTAATATTATTTTGCATTGGTTTTGGTGATATATAATATTAGATTTTATATTTTCTGTTATTATCTCGCGTTGTATTTTATTTTCGGTATAAGTAAGGGGAAGATTTGTATAATATAGAATATTTCAGTGATATAATTTTACTTAATTTTCTGTATTGTTGTAGAGCAGTAAAACATAGAATAATTGTTTTATAATATCATTACTTATACCGAATTACACGCATCATTCCAGCAATATAGAATTATTAAATAAAATTATATTACCGAATTCTGCCACCATCCATTTTCTTCCCTCTTACTCCAAAGTATATTTTGTGTGCAGTTGATTTTTTTTAATAAATATGTATTTCAAATTTAATTAAGAACTAATATTTGAGCAGCTGAACTTTTATTGATATTTTATTCTTTTCCTTATGCAGTGAGTTTTCCGATAAATTTTACATCATAAATCTCGATCAAGTGCTTATTTTTAATACATTCATAATTTTTTTAGAAATGAGCCAATTTCATTATCTCTAGTCATGTCTCCTTTTTCTCTAAGCCATTGGTAATTCCATAATTACTCTTAGTAGCACTCCAAATTAATTTCTCTAAAACCGATCAATAATTACTCCTTGTGGCCATGCAGTGCCTTAAAAACAGCCATTAGCTCTCAGCATTCAGGCAATAGAAAAAAGAGTCACAGTGATGTCACTGATACAAAAAACTAAGTTAAAAGGTGATCTCACTAAAAAGAACAAAATTAAAAGAGGTAGGATCGTTTGCTCCGAAGGAAAGTGTAAGAAGACATCGGTGCAAAATCAAAATAAAATATATTACGAGTATAGTAAAAGAAAAACGGGGAAGGATCTTTTAGTAATTAAAACACTGCACACCCTAAAAAGGAGCAAAATATAAAGTGGATAGTAAAGAAAAACAGATTTTGCAAAACGTAACATAAAGTGAATAATAAAGAAAAATAAATATTGCACAATTTAAGCATGTAGATTACGTCTGGAGGAAAGAAAAAAAAGAAGAAAAAACCTGATAGATTATCAATATGTTTATTAGTTAAAAAAATATGTATATTAAATGATCAAATGAGAAAATTCAGTTATTTTGTTGCACATGATTCATATTTCCTAAGACAAAAATACGTATATGGAGGTTGTAGAAATAATTACCTTAGTAATTAATAAGAATATTTATAATGAGCAAGCATCTGAAAACTAAGGGTTAAACCCAGAGTGTTGAAAAGTAAATTACAAAAATAAAATAAAAATTTATATGATTTGAAAAAAAAGGGAAAGTCGATGAGATTAAGTCAAACATGCACAAAAAAAAAATAGATAAATTTCATTTAAAAATACTCTCTATATACTACTATACTACTAGCACTACTTAAGTATACTAAACTGGAGAATTAAACGTTGCGATAATAGAACATTATCACAATTAAAAGAATAATAATAATATAATATAGTAGATAAAAAAATAATAATGATGATAATAATAAAGAATAATAATAAAATAATAATAATTAATGATGGTAATTAATAATAATAAAAGAATAATAATATAATAATATTAACCGTAGAGGAATCTCTTGTTACACAAATTCGAACAAATTTGATTCGCTAGTACTAAAAATATTCGCAGAATTAAATTGTTGAGAAACAATAAAATTCGTGGAAATCAAACAATGCGTGATTAGAAAATCGTTGATAATAATGGAAAATATCACTCAAACCGATAATAAATTATCAATTTAGTCAAAGCTTATCAAACTTTGTTTTTGAGAAACATCATATTCAATTGAGTTTTTCATGTAGTCAAACGAAGTAAAGGTAAGTTTCATTTGTTAAAGTTTTATTTCATTTATTTTATTTAATATAATAGGTAACATTGCGAGTGAAATTGCTTAAAACCCGAAAATTTGAAGGAAACAAGTAATTTTTAGTTTGAGTTAATGATGTGAAAAAAAATATTTTATTTCCTTTAACTTGGTCTCAAAAATACTAGTTTATGAAATTTGCAGTTTTTGTTATGACGCCAACAATTTCTTTCTGCGTTATTCACAAAAAAAAAATGAATTTGCGTACACAAATGCATTTGATAACTGTGACAACAAGCTTCTTTTCAGGAATTTATTTTAATTATTTCTGATTTATATTACATACAAATACTTTATTTCGACTTCTTTCTTTCCTGTTTTTTTCCTTTTTTTCTTCCTTTTTTCTTTTTTTTTTCTTTACTTTTTAATTTTTTTTTATCTAAAACTATTATTTAATTACTTCAAAGCTTATTTGAAATTAAAACAGATCTACGGATGTATTGCAGCAAAAAAAAATTTTTTTCATGCTTATAGCTTTTGCTATAAGCACTAAATAGTGGTGGAACAAAAAAAAAAACGATCTTCAAATGAGACATAAAATAACTCAACAACTTAGCAGCCGCATCCATAACATTTTTATATCAGACTATTCCCGAAATATTTCTACAGAAATGTGCAAAATTTCATATTAGTTCCAGAAACAGTTTTGGTTAAGTTTATGAGAAACGAAATTTTGAAAATTTTGTGAAACAGTGACGACAACGAGCATATTCTGAGAGAATGAATGCAAAACTTATATTGATAAGAATCTTTATAATTCTACATCGAAAAAACTTTAAAAAAGCTATTTATTTTTCGAACTGAGCAATAACTAATCTCCCTCATAACGGAATAAAATAAAATAAAAACTTCATTTAAGAATGGAAGTTCTCAAGAGCTCTCGAAAACAGAAATAAAACTTCCCATAGGGAAAATGATACTTTTACGAGAAATAAAAACAAGGACTCTCGTGAATAGAGTCTTCTGAGTTTGGTTATATCAGTGTTTCCCAAATTTATGACTTTTGTGTACCCTTTCTAAATTTTTCGTAACGCTGTGTACCACTAATAAAAAAATAAATATATTTTTTACTATAAAGAAATTGCACAAAAGTTAAAATCACAACTGGCTGTTGACACAACTAATCATTAACTGTTAACCCCTGCAAAAAAATAGGCAATAGAAAAATACGTAATTGTAAATTTTCATGATATTTCGCAAGACCCCCGCTAAACTGTTCCCGTACCCCTGGGGTGCGCGTACCAGATTCATGACTCGTTATTATGTATTTTGATTCGCTTTTATTAAATTCGTTTTCTGTTTGTTCATCCAAATGTTCAATAGCTATCCATTTTAGTGTTTTGCTTTAAAACTATTACTCTGTCTCAAAAATATGAAAACGAAAAAGTTATTTCATAGAAATTTCTATTTTCCTTATGAGACATAAAATTTGATTTACCGTATCGTTGAAAGGTATACTTCATACCTTACTCAATTCAATTTTTTTGTAAAACAAAAAAAAAAAATAAAACAAAAAAAATAAACAGTAGCAAGGAAAGGCGGTATTTTTTTTTATCAATAAAACGAAACACAAAACCAGCTTTGAAAAATCTGGGAGTTTGAAATATGGTAAAGAGCAGTATTTGAAATACAGTTTTGCATACACGAGTATATCTTCAAACAAAAATATTTTTTTTAGATCAAAAGATTTTTAAAAGAGTGATTTTCACGTGATTAAAACATTCAGAGATAACTCGTAACAAAATGACACAACAAACACTAATGAAACTATGTTGCGTCATTATGATGCAAGCTATAATTAAAAAATTTTCAGCCTGAACAGAAAATGATCCCGTTCATACAAAGAAGTTAAAATAGAAGAAAAACTATTGAGCAGTTTTTTACTTAATTGTTTGTTCAAAAATGTTATACGTACTGAACAGAATATGGCATTTTTTAAATCAAATAAAAATAATTTCCTAATTATACAAGTATTTTTTTTAAAATAATTATGAATACACTTCGTTTGTAACAAAACTCTGCTGAGAAAGCTGTTCTATAGAACAATATTGAATAAAAATGTAATTACTAGAAGATGTTTAAAACATAACCCTAGTTTGAAATTATATATTTTTTATAACCGTTGTGAACAGCTGACCCAATTTTGGGTTTACGACTAAAGATGTTTAGCATGGTAATTTTGAACCCAATCAGGAAGACAAGGGAATTCCTGGATCAAGTATTGGGAGAAATTTGACTGCGTGGAGGAATTTTCGATGGAGCTAGCCCACATTTGAGTTACATGGAGAGGAAAAAAACGAAAACCTTCAACGGTCAGTCTGACGGCAAAAGGGATTCTAGCCCATGATCCGTCTACCACTGAGGATATATTATGTCATCTCTGTAGTCGGTGCAAGTCAGGTGCGGAATTCGAATCGACTTGCCATTGTTGGAACTCAAACCCGATTCACTTTATTGGAAGGCGAAAGCTCGATCCCCTGAGCCACCGCGGCTCTGAAATTATAGAAGAAGCACACATACTTTTCCATTTATTATTATAGACAACGCCGGGAAACAATTTTTTTTCTATTGCAAGTGATTTCGGATATTTTCACATTGCTGATTTCAAATCTGCAATCGGTTTATCTTTACAAGCAATTCTCTACTAAATATTCCAAACCAATTTTTTTGAATTCCGTCAAGTGAATACTGAGTGTCCCCACTTCTCTGCTACGTAGGAAGTGGATAAAAGAAGGTAATAATACGCTTCAGTTTATAATGCGATTAAAGTCTTATGTTTCTTACCTTAAATGATTTTTTACAAATGAGCAGTCAACAGCGTGTAATCTTATACGTCTTTTATGAACTTGTACATTTGTTCAGCCGTGATGGCTCTGGGGATAGAGCCTTCACCTTCCAATGAGGTGCACCGGGTTCGAATCTCAGCTATGGCTGATCGATACGAATTCCGCATCCAGCTTGAACCGACCTCTGTGCTAACGAGAAATATCCTCAGTCGCTGACGGATCATGGATTAGGGTCCCCTTGCCGTCAGGCTAACCTTGGGAAGTTTTCGTGGTCTTCCTCTCCATGTAACGCGAATGCGGGTTTTTTCCATCACTAAGTCATCCACGAAGTCAAATTTCTACCAATACTTGATTCGGGAGCTCCCTTGTCTTCTGGATTAGGTTCAAAATTACAAGGCTGCGGAGTTGAACATCGGTAGTCGTAAACCCAATAATTGGGTAGGCTGTTGAGCGACGGTTATAATATAAAATAAGATAAAAGATTAACTTAACTAAAAATATGATTTTAAACACAAATATGTAGCTCTTCAAACAAAGCTAATTTCTGATTTAAAATTCCCACACCGAACTAGGTAAGGTCAAGCACTTGCATAAATGCAACAAAAACTTTATTCCTTAGTGCAATTAAACAAAGATTTACTAAAGTAAGACTTATAAACATAGAAATAAATTATAACAGATTATTTAAAATTACTGCTTATGATATTAGAAGCACAAAAAAAACGATATCCGTTTAATATAGAAAAAAAAAAATTTCAAAGTAGTGATTTTTACTAGATTTTTCTTCATTTTTTCCAACACTTATAAGTATTATTTAGCCCATGAACTTATTTTATTATGAATCATTCGTTCCAGAGTTAGTTTATTTTACTGTAAATCATTCGTTTTTTATATAACTTATATTTAAGTTTTAGGCGCTCAAAAAAAAAGTGCGCATTTTCAAGATATACCAGACGTAAAGCTGTAAATATAGTAAAAGTTGTGAAGATAAAACATTAAGTTGTCAACGAAAAACGGAAAATAAAGATGAGACACAAAACTAGATAAACCACAGTGCAAAAAAGTGCAAAAAAGAGATCAAGAAAAATCACGGTGACAAAGAGAGACAAATCAGGATAAAATGTATTTACGTGCGTTATGGATAGGTGGCCAGCTCATCTAGACGCCATGGAATCGTGTTTCATTCTCATGAATGCAGATTCCCTTGTTAACGTCATTAGTTCATCACCACCTGTCCATAATGCGCTGAAATGCATTTTACCCAGCTTTGCCTCTCTTGGTCACAGTGGTTTTTCCTGTTCTGTTTTTTCATCCATATTTTTGATTGGGATATTACTAATTTTGTTACTATCCATTATTTTCCATTTTTCGTTGACAACTTTACATTTCATATTTCAAATCACTTCTGATTATCCTCTTTCATGCCTGGTTAGTTTTAAAAATGGGCATCTATATTTGAGCGCTTGAAACATGTGATTGTTATTTACAATTTGTGTGTTTTTTATACCAAACGAAGTTTTTTTAATCAAATAATATGTTACAGATTCCGTTTCCTGGAGTTTTTTATTTAAACAAAATAAGTCCTTGTTCGGAATGCTCTTTAATGCTGAAGTTAGTGCATTTTAATGGTTTCAAAAACCTTAAACCTTATTTCTTTAGAAATTTTTATGAAATTTCAGAGGTTTTGGAGATAGATCATTCACTATACATTTCAGAAAAATATTTTTAAAGTAACAAGATTGAAGGATATCGAAGACATTAAGAACGTCAAGAGCACTCCGTAAAAGTATATGAATTTACAGTCAACTACAGAATTGCACTACATCATATGGAAGATTAACTTTAAAACGTGTATTTGGTCATGTATTTCAAAAAGTATTTTCAATAGTTATTATATCAATCCTGTAAATTTATAGTCCATACCTTTTATTTTAAGTTCAGTCCTAGTTCTTTCACTGCGTGAACAAAATTGACCTATCTTAAAAAACTTAACATTTCCCTTAACTTTTTTTTAATTTCCTTAATAATATATTCTTTTCGCTACAGACAACATAAACTCCTTAGTTTAGATAGTCTGATGATGACGTGCTTAATATTATATTCTTTTCGTTTTAGGCCACCTAAACTCGTTAGTTTAGACAGCCTGATACTTAAGTACTTAATTCCATAAATGGTATATTGTTTTCGTTACAGACTAGACGAACTCTTTAGTTTAGGTAACCTGATTCTTATATGCTGAATAATAAATTATTTTCGTTTTAGGCCACCTAAACTCGTTAGTTTAAGTAGCCAGATGCCGATGTGCATAATAATATATTCATTTCATTTTAGGCTACCTAAATTCATTAGTTTAGGTAGCCTGATACTTATGTGCTTAATTCTATAAATAATACATTCTTTTCTTTTCAGGCTGTCTTAACTCAAAAGTCTTTTCAAGACTTGCCCCTGGTCTCCTCTGTCAAAACTATCCTTGGGGACTCCTCTAAAATGGAATATGCAGCTAACCAAATCGAGTCTAGGCATGATGAAATTACTGATGATGAAATCATAAAATTACCTTTTCATAATACATCGCATGATAATTCATCATGGAATGATAATTCATCACGTATGTTTTTTCAACATTTAACAGAGTCTAAGTCTGTTCTGGAAAAGGAACTGTTCGAATTCGAATTAGAAAGTGTAATAAGGGAACAGAAAATGTACGAAGGAATTAAATTATTCTTTAAAACATATGAAACATGGCGAACTCACAGAAAAAAAACAATGGATTTGCTGAAGGAATGCGAAAGTTCTATTGCAAACGTTGCGGAAAAGGCTTCCATTTTAAAATTAATTCTTTCCACTGCAGGCGTTTTTGGCTCCGCAGCTTTTTTAGGTACTGATTATTTAAAAATAATACCTGATTGGGGAATCAAAATTCTGACAGCCTCGGGTGTAATTGGTTCTGTGAGCTTCTTATGTGATGTTATATCTCAATATTATAGTAAATCAAAGGTGGAAAAAATTATTTACCTTTTCTTGTTAGATCAAGATAATTTTGAAGCTATGAACAGCGATAAGCAAAGCAAGTTTGTCAGCGACATTATTGAAAAAAATTTCCCATTTGGAATCAATGATGATATTTTAAAAGATATCCTTGCTTGTCAAGAAGAAATGTCTGCGAAAATGCAACTCAAACTTAAGGAACTGGAACGTCGCTATCAAATCTTGAATTCACACTCGCAAAAAAAATTTGGGTCCAGAGGTCGTTCATGCAGCATTACTGTCGTTGATCCTAAATTGATAAATAGATTCATTACCTATGATAAAGTTTCACTCCAGGAAATGCTGAAGCATTTGCGTGAGATAGAAATGGATAAAGAGAATGTCAAAAACGCTACCTCCATCAATGATGCAAAAAATAATGAAGCGAAAATTTTTAGCATCATATACTTGTCAAATGTTTATCAAAAACACGAGTTGTTGTACAACACTGAATTCATAAAAAAAGCAAGGAACTTCTCAAAATCTACTTTTGCAAACTTGTGGTGGAAAACGTAAGTATTTATAAAATAACTAATAATTATAAAGACTTACCTCTCATTCTACGTAACAGTCACCTTTTAATCAGTCATCACAGTCACTTTTGAATCAGTCAGTCACCTTTTTCTTTCACCAGAAAACTAAAATTGTTTCCATCATTTTAATTCTACCTTGGCTATTGATTCTAAGGATTTTGATGATAAACGATGACGTTTTTGCTAGTTATGTAACAGGTGCATTAAATTAACTTCGAGAATTAACAATGAATCTAATTACCCTGCACGCATGTGCAAATACTTCGAAACAATATGATCTAGTATATGTGTGAGAGGAGCTGCACAAGCATGTGCGAATCGCATTTTGTGTGATCGCATATGCAGATCAGATGCAGTTAGAATGCTCCCTAAGATTTTGTTCAATGAGCTTCGTGAAAAGTGACATCCTGACATCATCATTCGATTACGAAGATTGCGAATTCAAACCTCCTGGTCTCCTCTCCATGTCCCTTAATTGCCTAAATGAGCATAAACTTTTACTGACATCGAAACCGTAACTTTGCAAACACTACATTTGAATGAATTCCGAACTACTTAGGGGCCGCTCTCATTAGATGCAAAAAATTTGCATGAGAATGAGTGGATTTTTTTACAAGCAAAAAACTTATCAATCAGGTCTTCGTTCATTCGCATGCAATTTTTACGCAATCAAAAATCGCATGCAGTAATAAGATTCCCCAAAACATTATTGGAAAAAAATGCAATCCGATTAAACAATCAATTTTTACCACAGCGAGTCGATTCAAGTCCTAAGATGAAAGCAGAGAACATTATAGCAGCTACCAACGTTATAAGCTACCAATATATAGCTACCAACATTGTGCATTATAGCAGCTACCAACAGTATAAGTTTGAATTAATGATAACTAAAAGATAACTATTGTTGATAGTTCAATCCATTTGGTTCAGTGGTAGAATGCTCGCCTGCCCCTCGGATGGCCCGTGTACGATTTTCGGCCGATGCACCAAAACATGGTGTGTTTAAGCTCAATAATCAATAAGAACGTCAATCAGTATCGAGGGTTCAGTGGATTTTTCAATCATTCAAAACATCAAGGACATTTAAAAAAGAAGCATTTAATAGCAAATATATATCATATATTTACATTTTGACACTTCCGTGTCTGCAAGATTTCTGCTTATTACTTACGCTTACAGCGCTTTTTAATTTAAGGGGTTTTTACCACCATGTATACCGGGGAATGCTAATAAGTACATATTTTTATTGGCTCCATGATCAATGTGCCAAAAACATTACTAAGCTCACCGGTCAAAATATTAGTCACGCCAAGAGAAATTATAAAGAACAACATTTAATATCGCGTAACTCTGACTCTAGACTATCGCATAAATTCTATAGGAAGTGAACCAACAACTTTTGGTGGTTGCATTGTATCCAGTTAGAGACACTCACTGAGAATTCGATCTCTTAGATCAACCAAATTTTGGCGGAGCTGATTTTGAAGTTTCGCTTAATCCGCTGTTCCAACTCCTTCCACAAATTTTCTATGTGTTCAAGACAGGGGATTACGCAGACCGATAGAGATACCGTAGAATGTGTGAACGTTCGTAAAACCAGTATCATATTCTTCCAGCCGTAACTTTTCTGTTGTAATCTTTAAAAATTGTGGTATCAACAGCCAACATGAAGATGTTGTTCAAGAGACAACACCTGACTATCCAGAATGTTAAACCATATTCATGTTAAATGTCCCCTCAGTGAGCGTGTCCAATACGTAAGTTCAAAAACACAGTCAAAACATGACAAAACCACCTCTATTAGTTAATGCTTTTTATGATTTATCGTCGCTGTCCAAGTGCTCGAACGGTCAGCATGCCTGAGTGCGAAGACAATGGTTGCGGCTTTAAATCCTACTCAATTCATGGATGTTTCTCTCTGTGTTTTGTTGATGTTTCCTTCTGTTGTGGGAATGTAGCAGAGACGGTGGTTATCTAAACTCCTTCCGTAGAAAAATAACCTTTTTTCGTGTTCGGTAGGCTTATATTTAAGATATATGAGGGCAATTGTTCAAGGAGGACGTTTTGAAAGCGGATTGCTGAGCAGGGTTTATGCGGATCATGAAATTCAAAATTCATCGTAATTAAAACCTAACTTAATTATACTTACCTAATTCTTATTGCTTTTTCTTTTACAGCCTAGAGAATAAAAAGTCGACAAAGCAAGCTGAGAAGAAGAAACTCTATGCCGAAATGAAGTCTGTTGTCAAAATAGATAAGCTGTTTTGGCCTATTATGTCTGTGACGTTATTGCCATTGTCACATAACTACACTGCAAATGCCTTAGCAATTTTCGTTACTAGCAGTATTATTGCTTTTGACGCTTTCTGCGAATTAAGTATTAAAATTGAACCGAAAGAAACTAGAATTTTGAAACGGCTACATCGTATTTTGTCTTCAGAATATAAAGACCTGAAGTTGAACAAATCTTGTTCTAAGAATCAATCAGATTGATCATTGATAATACTGATACTGAATGCATGATTTTTATCTAATACGTATTCAGTATCAGTATTACCAATGATCAATCTGATTGATTCTGGTTTATAATTTTTATATATTATATATTCTGCATCCCGATGCATATAACATGATTTTGTAGAATTTTGTTTACTTATTTATGTTATGTTATGTTGCATATAATTTTGAGTTTATGGCATCAGTATTGGAGACATTTCACTTCATATTTAATCAAAATGTCAGATTAAAAAAATTGTCTTTCTAGATGAAAACAACAATCAATAACTATATATGTAACAATTTTTTTATTAATTGTTGTATCATACCTTACGTCTGTCCATCTGTAAAAGCTCTGATAATATATAATCTCACGGATCATTTGATGAATTCATGAATTTGAATGAAATTTGCATTTTTAAACTTCCATACTTCTTTAGCCAAAACTGCTATTAATAAGTTGTTTCAAATGAATATATGATTCAAATAAAACATGAAATCCCTAACTTAACTTGGCTAATGGGAATTCTTAGCGCATTTTTAGTTTTAAGTAAATAACTTTTGTAAATTACTTTTATTGAGATTTTGATGATAGTTTGTTCCTAATAAGGAGGTTGACATTTTTTTTTTCATAAAGGGACACATTTATGTATATGTAGAGGATATATCTATGACAAATACAATAATAAGAAATTGAAAAACAATATTTTAGGAAACAATACTGAAAAAATAAACAAATATATGTACGAAGAAAAAAATTTAAAAAAAAAAATGCTAAAAAGTGAAGAAAAAAAAGAAGAAAAAAAAGAAAAAAAAGATTTTTAGAAAAATAGAAAGTGCTAAAAAGAAAAAAAATAATTAAAAAAGAAGAAAAAATACTGAAAAAAATGAAAAGGTACTGAAAAAGTGAAAAGGTAATGAAAAAAGATTTTAGATTTTAGAAAACTGAAAAGCAGCAAAAAATTAAAAAAAAAGACTGAAAATTAGCCAAGAAAAGGAAAAAAAGAATTGAAAAAAATGAATGAAAAATACTACTGACTACATAAAAATATTTTTCAAAAAAATATTAAAAATGCATAAAAAATTCCTTGAAGAGAGAACTGAAGAATAAAAACAATATATTGTATCAAGATGGCGTATAGTTCTTACGTGAACCTTAATTCGTTTGATGATTTTCCTTTTCACATTTCTTTATTCTGTTTCATTAAATTATAAACTGTATATTATATATTCACTTATATTTTTTGATATTCTTGTTATTTTTACCACATATGTTATATTTTTTACTTGATATATACGCATATATATATATATACTTAATTTAGTGTACTTAATTTACTGTACTCAATGCATGATATACTTCAGGATATACTTAATACCTGTGCTTAATAATATGTATAGAGAGAGATTAAGCATCTAAATATTCTAAGATTGCATTATTGCATTCTATTTTCTTTTTCGTATGTTTGTATATAAGAGTTTACACTGAGAGTATGTGTTAAATCGGGAAGCAAAAACTGGCGCCAAAGAGCCAAAACTTACTAACAACTATTGTTATTTTTGTAGTACGTGATTATATGTTTCTGAATTCTTGAGATAATTCGTTATATTTGTATTTTTTTGCGTCTTGAAACTTGTATTGTAGAAAATGGATTGTGTGTCAATCAAATGAGGTAACTTTGTGTAAAATGTCTGACTGAATGAATTTCTTAAAAAAAAGGAATAAAACTATTCAAGAGTAATATTAATCAATAAACACGATTTGCATATTCTACATACTACGTAACTAAACTTTTGAGTGCATATAATTACTTTCCCAGCTTGCAGTTACTTTTTGCATAAAATTTCAAGATATGGAAATATATAAAGGACAAATGGGCTGTTTATTAAAAGAAAAATTAATAAAAAATAAATTTAAAATTATGCTTAATATTACATTATTTTATTTATTTTATTTTGCTTGGATTAAACTTCAATTTGTCGACAAAAGTTGTACATTTCTGAAGAAAAAAGTATAAATGGTATTTCAGATAAATTCTTAGTATCACAGAGTCGGTCTATCTTGTCATTTGAAAATAGTATTTAGCATTGTGATATTGTTTGCTTTCAGAAATTATTCATCCTTATTTCAAGATGTATTTCTTTTTTTAATTTTCTGATCATTCTTTCTTGGAAAAATGGTAATTATTTCATCTGAGATCGAAATTGATTGACCTGTTAATTTTTGCTCAGAATTATTAATTTCAAATAAATTTTATCTTGCATCATAGAATTATTATTGCAAAATATTTTTTGTACTGGGAAATTAGATTACCTGCTATTCTAAGTTATATTTTTTTCTAAAGAATTTCTTTTTTTGCTTTTAAAGAACTTTTGTTTTTCACATTGCTTCTAAAGCACCCAAAATTGTAAAATAAACATTTGCTTTGAATTCACATTGTGTAAATTTCAATTTCACTCTAAGAATTTACAATTTTTCTTCAGAAAAATAATAAAATCATCACATAATACTTTTTCTTTCTATTCTATTAGATGTTATGGCATTGTAAAATGTCCAGTAGCAACAAAATATGTATGAAAATGTGAAATTTTAAGTTTCCTTTAAAAATATGATATAATATGTAACAAAATGTGTATTACATTAAAACTGTAATCCAAATGATAATATATGCTGCAAAAAGAAATTTGTTTGATTGATAGTCTGAAGGACGAAACTTAGCCAGAAAAAAAGTGAGTTTTTTAAATTTGAAGTAAGACATTAATAAACACTAAAATTTATATTTTTACAAAATCCAAATCATGCACAAAGTTATCTAAATTTAGAGGTCTGTTGTTTTATTGTTATTGCAGTGTAGTATTATTGACTGAATTTTTAATCAATTTATACTTCATTGCAAAGAAAAAAATGTTGGATTACTTTCTTAAATAAGACTGTGATGTTTTACATTAAGTTTATATTGTTATTTTTTGCTTTTTATAATGTTTGGTAACTACATAGTATGAAATTAAAATAAAGCATGGAAAAATATTTTGTGTAATCTATACTTAATTACTCGAGAATTCAAATATAAACTAAAAGTTCTCTATATATATTAAAGTTCTATTAATTAGGTCTTAATTAAGTCTTTTCAAATTTTTTAATATGTATTGAGCAATTAATTACTCGTAAAAAGGTTAAACATTTAGAAATATATCTCTGACTTATAGAGTAAATAATTTTAATTTAGAGTTTTGCGAAAAGTTTTCAACTTTTATTTTGTGAAACCAAGATATCCTAGAATATGTTGTCTTTGATAAAATCAAAATTAAATTATGTGAACATTAAAAGTAAAAACATAATTTTATTAAAGGCATTAATCAAATTATTAAAATTAATTAATTCAAATTAATAAAGAAATTTTATTGTGCGTATAAAATGTACTAGCTTTTACAAATTTAAAAAGAAATGAAAAATTTAAATTTTAGTGCGTAAAAATAAAATTTAATGATACTGAATGTTTTGTGTAAATAAAATCAATAGCATAATTTTAAAATTTGATGCGTTAAAGTAAAATTAACATAAACAACATAAAATTAAAATCTAAAATACTTTACATTTTTCGAGCTTATTTCTCTTTTTTTATACGTACCTTGGTGAATTCTTCATTTTAAAATGATTTTATAAAATGAAATTATTTTTCGAAAACCAATTAAAAAAGAATTTTTCGCAACAAAAAAGTTTAACAAATTTGCAAATTGTAAACATGTCTGTCAGTTTTAAACATATTTTGAACTTTAAATGTTTTGGACAATGTTCTATCGATAAAATTCAAATTTTCTACAAACATCTCTTAACTTACATAATCTTATATGATATAAAACGCAAGTTTCAAAAGAAATCTGCAAAACAAAACAATTATAAAAATTCTCAAAATATAAACCTTTATGTTAGCCATATATATACACTAAACTTAGAAAGTTTCGAACAAAATAAATTCTTTTATAAATTTTATATAAATATTTCTAACTCATATTAGTATTTCTTGAAAAATTGACGCTCACTTTTTAATATAAAACCAGTCTCAAATAGACTTCTCATTGCAAAAAAAAATATTAAAAGAATCGCTAATTGTCCCACCCTTATTTTAGTATGCTACCTACTCTGAATTTCGAATGTATAGTAAGAAACAAATTCTTGTTATAAATGTTCTAGAAATATTTCTTTACAAATATAAGTGATTTTTAAGAAATTGACGATCACTTTTTAAAATAAAACCAGTTTCAAATAGATTCCGCATTTCAAATAATTATTAAAACCTCCAAAGTGTGCACCCTTATGTTAAGCGATATACATACTCTGAATTTCGAATGTTTTGGACAAAACAAATTTTTTTCATAAATTTTCTATGAATATTTCTTAACATATATGAATATTTCTTGAGTATTTTACAGTCATTTTACAGTATCTAATGTGTTTCAAATAACTTTTACATTGCAAAAAGTTATTTATTGAATTGCAAAATATCCACTCTTATGTTAGTAACATACATACTCTGAATTTCCAGAGTTTGTGACAAAATTAATTCTTGTTATAAGTAATTTATAAATCTTTCTTAACATATATGATTGTTTTTTAAGAAACGGAATGACCAATTTTAATATGAACCCAGTTTCAAATGGATTTGCAGTATCCACCATTATGTTGCTGATATACATATTTTGAACTTCGAGTATTTGAGGCAAAAAGAATATACTTTTCATAAATTTTCTATCATATGTAACATATATTAGTGTTTCATACCAAATTGACTCTCATTTAATATGAAAACAATTAGTAATGGATTTACCATTGTAAAAATGTATTTAAAAAATCACAAAATGCCCAACCATTTGTTAGCTATACTCTAACTTCGAGAGTTTTCGACAAAACAAATTCTTGTTTTAAATTGTCTATAAAGAATTCTTAACATATATGATTGATGTCTTTTTATATATTTGAGGCACATTTCTAAAATGAAAAAAGTTTCAAGTGAATTTCGCAATACAAATTTTTTTTTTCAAAAATACCTAAGTATCCTCCCTTACGTTAGCGTTATGCATGTTCTGAACAAAACGAATAACTTTTATAAAATTTATATGAATATTTCTTAGCATGCAAAAGTTTTTCAAGAAATTTATTTTCGTTTTTAATTTGAAGCGAGTTTCAAATAAATTTCCCATTGCAAAAATTATAAAAAGTATCCACCCTTGTGTTGGAGATATACGTACTCTGAACTTGTTTTGGGCAAAAGAAATACTTTTTATAAATTTTCTATGAATATTAACATATAGGAGTGTTCTTTGACAAAAATAATGTTGCTTTTGAATATGAAACCAGTTTCAAATACGACTGTAAGAAATCTCTTTTTACAGTATCCATATAAAAACTTTCAAGTATCGGTACAGTTTTAATAGGCATAAAATATGATAATAATATAACTCATCATACCTATATTTGTACATTTATTACTTATTAGAACTACACCATTACCAGTCTTGCTTATTACAAAAATTAATTAGGCAATATTTGCTTCAATATATGGCGATTTTTTTTAAATTTCTCCCAATTTAAGAATACTAATTTAGTAACGTAATCCGCAAGTACTATCATGTTTCTGCTGATCATTAAGTTTAGACGAATTTCTGATTATATGAGTTATGCATTGAGTTTAACGATTAAAGTTACTTAAATATTAAGGAACATGCAAAAAACCTCTTTTTTCCATGAGAGATTTAACTTAGCAAATATCACTGATGTAACCTTTCAAATACTTGAAAGAGAGAGAAATCGTCTGCAGTCTCATATTTATGATCGGCAAGTTCTACGCCAAAAAAAAATAATTTTTCATGCGAATATACTTGACTAATTAATTAAAAATTAGAATTACGATTTATAGCAAATTTTGACCCTTGGAACCGCTACCCGAATTTCAGAATGATAGAGCAAACTGTTTTGGAATTATAAGAGAAACACAGATACACACAGACAGTCAAACTCTTCTTCATTTTATTATTATACACCAGCTGAATGCCTGGTCTTCATTTCGGGGTGTTAAAAAGAAATCAATCAATATGTCAATGCTGAACAACACAACAAAATTCTGCTCTAAACTGAAAGACATATATTAACCCTACTTATAAAGCTAAAATAATTCCATTTTTTAAATTTATTACATTTTGTTCCTCCCGGTGACTTTACGTTATTAGATTAAGCAAAACACGCTTTTATTTGCTCTTCCCATCACTCTGTTCAAAATCATTTGACATGAAACTGTTGCTTGAAGCTAACTCATGATAGTCAAAATTCACCACTAACGCGTGACTTATCTCTTTAGATGGACCATAAAAAACAATTTTACAATTGAATATAGATTAAAGCTTCCCAATATGATGCAGTTTTAATCAGTGTCAAATATAACATAATACATTGTACAGTTCGCAAAAAAAAAATGAATCACCCTGAATAACTTTCGTTCTAATGAGCGGGTTTTCACGAACTAAGTGTCAATCTTAATGGTTCCAGGGGGGTGACCTCAAATATGCTAATTAATTAGTGCTAACTATTAATTAAGTTACGAAATTAGACACAAAAACGTACTTTCTCTGAATAAACATATTTTTTTTTACATATTTGGATTCTTAACCTTCAAAATATAGGGGGTAGCCGCAATCTGGGAAATATGGTCCCCATAGTTTGGTCAGGAGAGCGATCCAAAGTTCGTACCCCTTAATGTTAATTTAACTTTTTACGCTTTTAGTCATATTTTTAAAACTAATAAGGCAATTCAAAAAAAGTTGCACCCACTCATAAAACTTAATTACAATTAAACAACAACAATTAAACTTAATTACAATTAATTACAAAAACACATAACAATTTAAAATTTCGAACGAATTTTAGAATCACTGGTTTCATTGCAGTCACCGTACAAATTTCAGGGCGATAGAACAAACGGTTCTGGGGGTATAAGAGAAACATACAGACATATAAACTCTTCATTCTGTTGTTATAGATTTATATATTTTAGATTTTATTAATTACTCAAGAAGTTTGTGATCTGACAACATGGAAGTTTCAACATAACATAGAAATTTCAACTTAAGTCATTAACTAAAGGAAATGGGTTATAATGCATAGAGGATTAAATACATCTAATTAAATAATACATTTCATCCAAAACTAAACTAATTTCATTTTTTTACATCTAAAACTAAAAGATAACCAAGTTATTATGCTTGTAGCACTAAGAACACATAACAATTCACTAAATTTGCGTATGTAGTTTTTCCTCTTGTTTGGTTTATTTTTCAAGTGTTACAAGTTCAAAGGGGGCATTCTTTTGTTTTTTGAAAACTCTTCGTATATTTTAAATTTTATGAATATATGCATGATTATTTTTTCTATGTATGTTCATTTATATAGTAATGTATATATAAAACTTAAAATAAACGAACAGTTTTCTAAAAACAAAAAGCGTGCACCTCTTACACGCTACGCCTGCAGTTACGACGAGTTCTGATGTGTTATGTCAGTGTTATGAAGTTTTTTCATGATTTTTCTGTATTTCTTAGTACTTTTATTTCCTCTTGCAGGAAAAATGAGTAGTTACAACACGCACAAGCAACATTTCAAGCTGTTTCATTTCTTTTAATTTCAAAAATGATTGGACAGTTTTTCTTCATCCTGTAGGATTTCGTCATCAAATATTATATTTTGGTTCAATACGAAGATAATCAATGGCAATATTTATTGAAAGGTAATGCAAAAGGTTTAAAACAACATCAATTATGCGAAAATAAAACTTCAAAGAAACTAATAATAATCCAGAACATGCTTATTGCAGTATTTTTCTCAGAAAACTTAAACCATATTCGTGTTGGAAATTCTGAAATGTTACCATTTGTTTTTCTTGCTTCGTGAAGTTTAATATCAGTAAAATCAGCTCAGATTTGCTTGAACTTGTTCGCTAAAGTTAGCAGGTTTCATTCTTTCAATTAAACTATCGATTGTGCGTAATTCCCTTTTCATTTCTTTCAAAAGTTTCCTTAATTTATCGGAATGTAGTGACTTTGCTCCTTGGCGAATGTAAAACATTGAATCATATATGGTTAAACAGTTTAACATTATTCTTCCGGCAACCGGCAAGGAAGTTAATCGCTGTTGTTCTAGTGGCAAGGAGGGAATACTTTGTAAGACTAGAGATTGCATTTGCCCAAATTCCATCTGCAACATCATTCTATTCAAGTCAAGGGTGATGGGATGCTTGCGGAAAATTATCCTGAAAAAAATATGTAAATGGATAACTGTAAGTTGTTTGCAGAAAATTATCCTAAAAATGAACATATATAAATGAATAATTGTAAGATGCTGTTTGAAAACTATTTCGAAAAACTTATGTATATATAAACAAATAATAGTAGATGTTTATTGAAAATTACATATCTTAAAAACATGCATAAATGAATAACTGTAAGATATTTGGGAAAAATTATTTTGAAAAACATAAATAAATGAATCATTATAAATAGAAATAATTACCTATTCTAATAAATATTCCAGATTTTTGAAAAATCTTATTAAAAAGATCAACTTCTTAAACTCTTCTCTCGTGTACGCGTGTTACAAAACCCTGAGACTTTTTGTGCACCACACTGAACAAGAGTTCATTCAAAACATCATAAATAAATATTTTTTAAGCAAACTGCGGAAACTGCTTTTCAAAAAATTATACTATTTAGTATAAACTATATATAAGTGCTTTATTTTAAACATTTGAAAAACTATATAAAAATGCTAAAAGCCCAATTACTCCCAATGTCACACCAAAATTTAATGGAAAGATGTAGCATTGTTTGATCAAATTACAAATAAGTGCCGTTTAACTCAATTACCATTATGGGTTGCTTATTGAAGAGCAAAAAATTTCATGTGCCACATTATTGAACCTATACCAATGAAAAAACTAAAACACCAATCATAATAAACGATATAGAAAGATGAAATCAAATACTTAGAATAACTTTTGATAAACCTAATAATCGTAATGTCGGGTATACTTAAGTTGCAATCCTAATGGACCAATAAGAAGTAATTATTTAATGCACACAATTTATTATAATCTGTTTTTTACCAGTCAAACATCGATCACAGTTGGTTAAAAAACACCAACATTGATGAGCAAGTTATAATGCCGTCTGGATAGCATGGTAGACAATGTATTTATGGGCATCTCCATGAAGCGTAAAATAAAGATTAGTTTCTCTTAACACAAGTTCTCTTAACCCCCACAAGTTAGATTCAAAAGAGTTTCCTAGTCTTCTGAGTACAGTTCAAAGCTACAAAGTTATTGAATTGAGCACTGTGGGACGTCCGCACACATCTGAAATATGACTTGGCAGTTCAACATCCGTGATATAATAAAATATGAAGTAATTTAGCACAAAAAGTTTAAAATAACAAGGAATTGAAATTCAGAACCTCGACTAATTTAATTTTTAAATATTACAGCATTTTTATGCATCATTTCATACATATGTATGGAATGAAAGGCATAATATAACCAATTCATTTGCATCTAATTTATTTAATAGTCAAATAACATGTGCATGTTTACTTTACTTATTACACATTAAGTTAAATTCTGAGTATATTATAAAGTAGCATTACCTGTTCCACCATAACCTGGCAACATTACTCCATGTAAACATTTGAAGACCATGTAGAAAATCTATATCCTCAAGAATATCACTGTCTTTTCTGACATTGGAAGCTAAAGCTGATACAAACACTTTCATATAGTCTTCTAATTCGTGTGAAGCTTCTTGAACTTGAAGGGCAATGTCCTTGTCTACACCATACGGAAATATCCTTGAATCTTGAACTGCAAAATCTAAATCCTCGTTACCATGAAACCATTTCACAATAAGGTCCAATGACTTGTAATCCTCTTCAATAGAATCATTAACATCATCCAAGATCTTTTTGGAAGAGGTAATCTCCGCCACTGTAGCGAAAATTCCAAGCAAACCGCACGCTGATGCTATGTTAAAAGCATATTTTGCACTATCTGAACTCATTAGCAAGCCGCCGACGGAACCTACAACGTCAGTTGTCGATCCTACCAACCGAGCAATGGAGCTAAGTTTAAAGTTTTTATCCAAGCTTTCAATGTAGTCTTCAATCTTTTTAATGAGGGGAATTCTTACAAGTTTCCAATCTTCCACTCGTTTCAACAAGATTCGGAATCGTTCGTCAAACAGGTATTTTAACTCGTCGAAAACTTTAATTCTTTCGTGACTTTGTTCTCCTAGACCATTATCTCTGGATTCTGTTTCTAAGATATACTCAGCCAATTTACGTATTTTCTCTTTTGTCGTCCGATCGAATTTGAAATGGATTAAATCATTCTGAAATCTTTCCTTTCTCATCAAGTCAGAGATGTCAGAAAAGCGTCGCGGACGAAACTCCATCTGAAGAAAAAAAATAATAATAATGAAAATAAGTTAAAATATAGATGTAACGGGGCATTTTTGCTCTAATAGACAGTTTGAAGGTTGATTACATTATATTAATTGTTGAAGGATAATAGAAATGCTTTTCTTTTTCTTTTCTTTTCTTCCAGACGTGGACACGTATCTAAGTTTGCAAAACCCTTAACCGTATAGTCCACATCTGGACGACTGTCTAGCTCGCACAAAACTCGGCACGTGAGTAAACCATTACAAAATTCATAACTGCACAATACAGATGATACAGATGACAATAAAGATGACAATAATTCGTATCACATTAGTTAAATTTATTTAAAAAAAAATTTAAAAAAATTGAGGCAAAGAGAACAATAAATGAAGCGAATTTTGTTATATACATAATAATTTTAAAAAAAAAGAAGCAAAACAAAAAGCAAATAAAGAAAATTTAAACGAGGACGAAATGTATAATGAATGACAAAATCAAATAGAAATGCTAGCATACGCAATTTAATTCAGGATATTCTAAGAGAAATCGGTTCATGTTTAAACAATATTTGATATTTTTTTTAAATTACGCCCCCCTTCGATATTTGACACATCGAACCAACTATAGTTAAATTTACTGACACCATATTATAGTACCTTATTATAATTTATGGCCACTTTAAATTGTATAGTAATAACCTTTCTAAGCTGTAAAATAAAATTATTTATACAAGACCATTATAATGCCCTGAATCATATTAAAATAAGGATTATACAATAACGAGGTAGTAATTGAGATCCGGACGGGTTAAGATTTATTAATATATTCATATTCGGTGAATACTAAATCAATGTAAAATATCTGAATAATTAATGCTGTACATTAAGTGCTGTACATAAATGCTGTACATTCCGAATTGTTTTGTTCTTCCGCTCTCTATATGAAGTAATAAACTATTCTAAATTTTTTCAAGTATTTGATTGGATAAAAATTCTGCTTTCTATTTCTGTCAGAATACTTATTCAATCAAATGATCGATATCTTTTACTGATATATTTATCACTCAAAATTTACTCAATAAATCCAAAACTTTTTTTATATATTTACTTTTAACAAATCTTATTTTTTAATTTAATTCTTAAAACTAACTGTAACAAAATGAAAGGCAATCAATTTTTTTAATCTGAAATTTTGACCTATTTGTTTACAAGGAAACAGACTGCAGTCCGAAATAGAAGTCATTTCGGTTATTATCTGACATTGGTCAGATAATAACCGAAAAACCAGTAAACCAGATAACCAGTAAAGATTATAAATAAAGATTATCATGAGTCATTGGTTTGTTATCTAACAAGAGTGTGGTAGAAAACGAAAATTTTTATTGGATAATGGTTCGAACTTTTAAAATAATGTGCATTTGAAAAATTTAAATTTTGTGCATGAAAGCACTGGGATATATTCCATAAATTTTAAAATAAAATCAAAGTTGCCATTTTTTATTGGATTGGTAAAGTCTTTTTCATAAATGGCTGCGATCTACAGGGCTTATAGAAGAGAGGACTGCTAGTGTGGACATTTTTTATAAACTTGTTAAAAAACGTTATTAAATATAATTTTTAACTTTTGAAGTACTTTTTTAACAAAAGTTTTAACGTCCTACTGCATTCTAGTTTATATCTGGACTAGGAGTGGGCGATATTAGAAATTATATATCGTGATGCATCGTCAGTTTTGCATCGCGATATAGCGATGTATCGCGATATAGTATTTTTGAATTTCATTTACTTGTAAGGCACAGAAAGTCAGATTTCTATCAAAACTTCATACTCAGATTGATTTAAATCAATTTATAAATTTGAAGATATATATGTTTTGCTTAAGAAAGATATTAAATAAATTGACTACAATGTACAAATCTTACTTAAAATATTTATTGAAATGTTTGTTTAGAAATTCATAATATGCGTAAAACAAAGTGTTAAAAACTTTTTCTAAAGCGTTTTTGCAAATTAATATTTTCTTGTACATATTATGCATAAATAATTACATAATTACTAAGTTCGATCGTAATGTTCAATTTCTAAATGGAACGTTAAAAATTATTTGTATGTTTAAAACAAAGGCTAAATAAATTTTAGACAAAAAAAACGCTTTTAAAACACTATTTTTTATTATTATCATTTCAGTTATTATAGTTCACTTACGTCACACTAGAGCTGCACAAAGGGCTATTGCCGACGGTCTGGGAAACATCCCTGAGGATGATCCGAAGACATGCCATCACAATTTTGATCCTCTGCAGATGGGATGGCACCCCCGCTTCGGTAGCTCGACGACCTGCACGCGAAGTCGAGCACTTTACGGTAGAACAGTTTAACGAGGACCAATACCGCACACCCTCGGTCCCTACGCAGACTGATCCAAGTGGTCACTCACCCGCACACTGACCGCAGCCAGTGATGCTTGACTTCGGTGATCTGCAGGGAACCGTGTCTTAACGATCAGTCCACTGCGGGACCTTATCATTTCAGATAAATAATTAAATTAAATTAAATAATGACCGAATTATGAACGAAAAACAAAGTAAGATTTAATTTCTTAAAAATAAAAAAATTGTGATATTCGATAATATATTTAGCTAATTAACAAATAATATGAAAAGAATATTTTTTAAAAAAAATTATTATACTCTCTAATAAAACGAAGTGCTAAATGATTTAAAAAAATGAATAAAATACGCAAACCTTTCAAATTTTTTTGTATAAACAAAGTTGATTGACTTATGTCCAAATCCAAATGACAAAAATAAATTTTGTTTTAACTTTATTTCTAAAAATAAAAACAACAAGATTTATAAATTTAAAATCAGTAATAAAAACTCATTAAATTATTAGAAGTTTCATCCAAAAAGTTTTTAATAAATTAAAAGAAAGTAAAAAAATAACCTAACAAATTCAATTCTTTATGGGCGCCTAAATTAGATTGCCGATAATTTTCACATTTAAAAATAAAAAGAAGTTTTTTTAAAAAAAAACTTATCTAATTAATGAAGAAACTCTTCTTTATATATTCTTTTCAATAATAGATTGCCTTCAGAACAAGGTAACATCGGCGATCACGAAGTTAGTCCCACTGAAAATAATCTACAAGAAAAGTCGCGACAAAGAAAAAAAAAAGCTCAGAGGTGCGAAAAGGAACATGTGATATAACGATATGTGTTCTCAAAACTCTGATTCTGATTCTACAGCTCACCAATCAAGGCCATTTCAACATAACGAAACGAACATCGTCTTCCACAGCGCGAGTCGACATCGGAACGCAAGAGAAGAGTTTTATATCGCTATATCGTTATCTTGTATCCTTGCTTGTCCTATATCGCTATATCGTTTTGCGCTCGTTGTCTTTGCTCGATGGCTTAAATCAGATTTCTGATGCATCGCCTTGAATGAAAGTCGCTGTATCGTCTTGCCGATATATGCGTTAAATCGATATGTCTCGAAACATCGATTTATAGCCCAGTCCTAATCTGGACTTAAAAAGTTGTAAAGCTTTTTCTTCCGTAATAATGCTTTTTAAAAAGAAAGGCTGTTTTTGACTACACTAGCTCCAATACATAGGGCTAGCGTGGAAAACCACGATAACTTGCTAAGTCATTTATTATAACTCAAAAAGGTGTATCTGAAATCAAAATGAAAGTAATTTCAATCTAGGCCTTATTATATGTAAGTATTAACATATTTTAATTAAAATACTAAATTTTCATAAAGCATTTCATATAATATGAAAGAAATTTTGAATGAATTCATATTTGAACTTATTTGATAAATATTTTGAAGTTTTTTATCAAAAAAATTGGAGTGTCAATATTAAAATTGTATTGAGATGCAGTCCGGGTATTTAAGGGCAATGGAAGTTTGGTAACTATTTCTTCTCTTGAGATTTGAGAAATGCTTTTTTTTCTGGATAAACTAAAGATGGTTAGAAGAACTATAAGCATTTTTTTCTTAGGAATTGAACATCATAATCTTCAATCTCGAAATCTATAAAAAAATTTCACTCTCCTACATAATGTACAACACTGTTTTTTTTTTTATTTAATAAGAAAAAAATTTGCTGCCACAAATCGTTTATATCTCTACACTAGTTTGCTTAGGCTTAATGCTGATTAATTGAAATTATACGAAGCAAAAGTAAATGACAAAATCAATAAATAAAATAACAATAATATCATTTATAACATCTTCAAATTAAATTCTTAAAATAAAATATGTAAATAAAAGAGTAAAGTGAAAATTTCAAAATTACTTTCACACCTTAAATCGCTTATTTTATAAATTTCTACTAAAATATTTACATTGTGATTACTCAAATATACATAAAAATGTACAACAGAGTTCCAATTTACAATATCTCACACGGGAGATTTTACTTATATATAAAAAAAATAATCAAGATATCCCCTTTAGCCTCATGTCCCCATTAACTCCCGTTTCTCCTAATAAATATTTTGAAAATTTTAAACAATCCTTTTCTTAATTTGTAAAATGGCTAATCATCCTGAGCAAAGATAATTTTAAAAAAAAAGTGCAAATAAACTGCTGAAAAAGAATAAATTATAAAACAATCTTATTGTTAAAAACCACTCAATATTATAAAATATTATTAATCATTACCTGTAAAGATGGAGAATTTGGTGTAAACTCGTTCGAATTCATGTCCATTCAACGATAAAAAATATAACAAAAAAGGAATTATTTATCGTGAACATCTCTTTTAAAAGATCATCATGATTGAACCATTGTAGTATATCTCGACTTAGATACGAATGTGTGATAAAAATTGTACTTTTGAAAGAAAGTGAAACTAATTATAATACCAATAAACAACTAAAATTAATTTCCCTTTTGTATTCTATATCATAGTTTTAGTGAGTTATGTGATTAATTAGTTACACATGATTATGAAAGAATTAGTGCGTTTTTAATAATCTTTTGCTTTGGAATTATCGTTTGTTTTTCATTCCATGAAAAAATCAAAAAACAACAATGACGTAACCTATCTACAAGTTTGTTTCGCTAATATAAGAGGAAGAATTGATTTCAAAAACGAAACATTGAGTGAGTTCTGCAACAAGGAGCTTTTGAAGCCCGCTCCAAATTTCTTCAACTTTAAAATAATTAAAAATCGATAGCAATTGATTTTTCAAAGGATCTAGTTTATAGTTTTCACATGACGCCATTATTCTTTATTTAATGATAGTTCTTTTAGCATTATTTTAAATAATTTTTTTCAATTTCTAAATAAATATTTCCAGTGGTCGAAAGTAGAGCTACAAAAGTAGCGAAACTACTGTATTCGAATATCACAACGCTCGAGTACACCCTCTAGCGGATAGGTTATTTCAGGCTTTTATTTATAAAGTTTTCATTTAGTTCCATCAGAATCATTGGCAGAGTCGGAAGCCATTTTCTTAGCAGCAAATAAGAAGCAAAATTTCCCTAAGGAAAATGCAGAAGAACTTGAAAAAACTCCCCAGAACATTGATAAATCTTTCTGAAACAGAACATGCCAAACATTTTTTAAGAAAAATTTCTCAATAATTTTTAACTTGTATTATCGACAAACTTGCAACTGACAACTTCCGATTTCGGGATCGCATACTATTACAAATGTTTGTAATACGGTAAAATACATTTTTTTGTCTTCAATTCATTACAAATTAAAGTGAAGTCAACATTTCTTACTTTATTCCAATGAATAAATATTTTTTCAGATCGTTCAGAACTGCAACAGTTGTAGAATATTCTTCTTCCTTATAGAATAGTATATATTTCTGCATTTATATAATTCGTAAAACATTAAAGAATCAACCGAATTGCATGAAATAGTATCATTTGTGCTGATTATTAATAAATTTTTACCGTTTTATAGAATATAATATAGTACAGACGATATTAAATATAAGAATCCTTTAAAATTTGATTTCTCAGGAACAATTCAACCTATTTCTTTCAAATTTTGCATTGTAAAATTAGATATTTTAAAATTGAGTAAAATTTTGTGTTCCTTACAATTCAAATTTTTTTCCACTATTACTCAGTAAAATAATAAGAAATAATAAATATTTACTAATTTTTTTTTTTTTTTTTGCAGGGAATTATCTTTGAATAGACAAACTTTGTAATTGTATATAAAAAAATTTCAATTAGCTTAAAAATGTCTCGAGATATAGTTAAATAGGCAAAAAGGGTAAAGTTAACATTAAGAGGTCCGCTTGGATCGCTCTCCTGACCAAACTATGGCGACCATATTTCCCAGATTTGCAACTATCCCCTATATTTTGGGGGTCCGAATCCGTTGAAAAAAGGTATGTTTATTCAGAGAAAGTGCGTTTTTGTGTCTTATTTCGTAACTTAAATTATCGTCTGCGTTAATTAATTAGCTTCTTTGAAGTCACCGCCTTAAACCATTAAGATTGAGAATAGAACGTGAAGATCCTATCATTAAATCCAAAGTTATTCAGAGTGATCCTCTTTTTTTAGACGCACTGTTACTCATGTTACATTAATGTTATATCAATAGAAGAAAAATTTTTGCTCTGCAAATTTCGATGTACTTTATTTCCAAGAGGAAAAAAGCATTAAGCACTTAACAAAATCGAATGTATTTGGTAATTTTTTAGCATTTCTAAAATTAAATATTCACTGTTAAGAAAAGCATAAAAAGTTGAAGGTTAAAAGAACAATTAGTAAAAAATAGTTTAGAATAATAAATCGGGTCATGTAAGCATGAATAAATACATCTTAATTACTCATACTTAAATCAGTCAAACTTTTTATTCAAACCATTTTAAACATGGACATAAATAAGTTCTTCGACATAGTTCGCCTTCGTAATAAAATGAAAAAGCAAAACAAAAAATACAGTGTTTTAAAAGTATAAAAAATACATTACAGTACAACGTTTGTAAATAATTCTTATTATAAGGAAAAGTTGTTTTTAAAACATTTCAATACAACACAAAATCGTTTGTTTATAACAAAATGAGAAGAATGGAATATTTCCACTCCTCTCGTCAGAGTAAAACTAATTAAACTTGTTTGACAGTTTTCGCGGCAGTGTTAGAGCATCTTGAGCGTTAGGAAAATTTGCCATAGAGAAACCTATGGTAATCTATGGCAACTTATGGTTCCATAGAAATTTGTATGGTAAAATACCATACGCCTATGGTAACCATAGAGATCTGTGTGACATTTATATAACACAACGCCATAAGCCTATGGCAGCCATAGAAATTTGTATGGCAGGATATCATAGGCCTATGGTAACCATAGGGATCTGTATGGCATTTATATAACACGACAACATATTCTTATGGCAACCATAGAAAATTGTATCCATAGGTCTATGGTAACTAGGACTGGGCGATATTAGAAATTATATATCGTGATGCATCGTCAGTTTTGCATCGCGATATAGCGATGTATCGCGACATAGTATTTTTGAATTTCATTTACTTGTAAGGCACAGAAAGTCTGATTTCTATCAAAACTTCATACTCAGATTGATTTAAATCAATTTATAAATTTGAAGATATATATGTTTTGCTTAAGAAAGATATTAAATAAATTGACTACAATGTTCAAATCTTACTTAAAATATTTATTGAAATGTTTGTTTAGAAATTCATAATACGCGTAAAACAAAGTG